ATGCACATTTAGGGGCTAATCATTTAGCAGATGTCCACTTAGGTTTCATGTCAATTAAACCCAATAAGTGAGGGGGCATTTGTGGCATGATTCCTTGAGACTCTCGGAGGCAAGCTAAAATATCTCAAAGATTTAAGATGGCATGTAATCAGATGTGATTAATGTCACCCCTTAAAAAATGATCAGCTATTGTGAAGTGAAGTCAGGCGGCCCCTTCGCTGCCCCTCTTTTTCTGTGAGTGAGAAGACGGATCACACTCCCCTTTTGTAGAACAATGGCGAGGAGAAGAAACACTGCCAGCTCCCAAAGCCTGGCCAAAAGCATTTCATAAACATGCAAGCTCTGAAAATCTTCAACCACCGTTATTCTCCTCGGCTGCACACAGAAGTCTAAATTGTCTCTCGCTTTGTTGCGGCTCAATAATGTGAAAGGTATTGATGTCATCCTCAGTAAAATGGCATCCCGGGGCGACTAATATGAGCACTTTTAAGGCTCGTCGGCTTGGAGACACTCCAGGACTCTTAAGTCAGAGGTGGGCTAAGCCATCAACTAGTCGTCCCCCCCCCCCCCCCCCCCCCCCCTTCGGATGAGAGAATGGCTGACTCACAGTGTTAGTAGATGAGGCAGGGAAATGGAGGACAGGCAGTCGGTCTAATGCAATCAAATGATTTAGCTGCCATTAAAAACTGCAGTCTGTTTTTATGAAGTTATTTAAGACTGACTTAAAGAGATTAATGCAGGATGTGGATTACTGCCCGAGGCCGATTATTGTGATTGTGAAAAAGCAGAAAATTACAATAATCTCCTTGTCATTGTGCAGCTTTTACATTTTTGTCTTCCTTGTTGTTAGTGGGTTTTAAAAAAAGGATGCATGACTTTGTCTCCTGTCATTAGCAGATCTGCTCTGTTGGAGACAGAATGACGGCTGAGTGTCTCAGACTCATCGCTATAAAAAGAAGAGGGCATTGTGTCTGAAACAGTCCTACGTAAGCAGAGGGAGCAAACATTCAAACATGTAGCTGCTTATTCTGAAACTGTGCTTAAGGAAGTCAATGAATGGTTGTGAAACTATAGTGAAGCAGCACATTTGATTCGTTTAATAGTATAGTAAACAAACCGATGATATCTTAATCATTTCGCTTACAGGTTCACTAATGCAAAAAGATGTTTGTTTATATTGGATTTATGGGTACCACTTTACAATAAGACTACCCTTATAAAGGATTCATAAAGGGTTTATAATTAGGTTATGAATTAGGTTTTAAACACTTTATTAATCATTAAGAACCATTTATAAACCAGTTCTAACATAGTTTGCATTCATCAACACAGGCTCACTATTTGGCAAGATGACTAAGCCTTATTTTGGCTACTTAGAGAGAATCAACTCAGTGAACAACAGATACCAAGGATGCTGGCTGATGAAGGAGATGAAGTAAGCTAGGTAGCCAATATAAGACTTAGCAGTACAGATAAATGTGGGCTCACTATTTGGCAAGCAACCGGTCACAGTTGCCCTGTTTATCTCATGTCTTATAAAAGCTTATTCATGATTTATAAAGTGTTCACAACCTAATTAATAAATGAATTACAAACTATTCGTAAACCCTTTTATAAGGATAGTCTTATTGTAAAGTGGTACCGATTTATGTATATCTTTTAGTTATTGGTTGTGTTAAGGCAGGGGTGCCCACACTTTTTCAGCTTGGGAGCTACTTTTAAAATGACCATGACCAAGGGGGGGTGCTAGTGGACTAAACGGCGGATAAACGGTGGCGCGCTTACACTAATTGCGCCGCATAAGCGTATAATAGTGCGCCGCATTTGCGCTTCAGATGAGGAGGTGAGGCCCCCTCATAACTGCATGAACCCGTATGGCACAATACAACTCAGACTGGCTTACCTGTACGTCAATCAAGTGGCAAATGCCATAGTAAGGATGGATGATAGGCTAACTTTAAAAAAATAAAAATGTCATGTGATCTAACCACACTACCCTTGCGATCGACGTATTGGGCACCCCTGTGTTCAGGCATAGTTTTTGACGCTTGTATTTCAGGGCAATTTAAATCCTGATAACCTTCTTTGCCTCCAGCTGGCCTCTTGACCCGTGCCATTGTTTTGAGATTGGAGATGATTGTGGCATTAATAGCCCTGTTTGTCAGCCTGGCTGTAGCCTCAGGACTGATGTTTTCTGGGTGTGTGACTCAGATTGAGACAAGGGCAAGCCTGTGCCTCTGGTCATCAGGCTTTACTCTCTCTGAACCCGTGACCCTTGCACTCTTTGCCGTCTTTTTAAATTACCACCATCACTTCAAGCCCCGTTTCAATCCAAGGGAACAATAGCTTCTTATTTAGGGATTATCAAAAACACCAACAGATCCATGTTGGGCTGAATTTCCTTCTGTTTTCTGGCTGATAAAGGCTTGCCGGAAACCGACAGTCGCCCTGCAGTGTATTTGCAGATAAAGCGGAGATAAACTGCGCTGTCGCCTGTGCTCACAGTCACGGTAGCAGCCTCGGTTGTCACAGTTGTCAGGGCATGCAGTTGGTGTGGTTTTGAGGCTGTATCTGCCAGCAGCTGCAGTAATTTGCTGCGTTTGGACGCTCTGAATTCCTCTGGTGGGAGGATGGATAATAGACGTGGTTCATAGACTTGTTGCTAGGCTTCAAGACTACATTTTCATGGCACTGAATGGGTTAGTGATGCCTGGTTTGAAGTCACTACATTGGTGTCAATGAGTTTCTGTTTACATTGACATTGCTGACAATTCCTGCTCTTGCCCAGTGTGAGCTGTGGTTTCAGATTATGTCAGAGGCTACCCTCACCGTAGAGTGGTGCAGGGATGACGTATTCCTTAAGGCTGACCTGGAAATTAACAAGTCCCCAAGTCTAAATGCGATCTCCAGAAGTCAAAAGCTGGGCTATAAAAGAACTACATCCTGGTCACATGACTTCACGCTGAGCTAAAGTTGGCTAATGTTTGGCATGAGGACTTTTTGTAGTTTATTTAGTCACTTGTTAGCAACTGCCATTTTTAAGACACATACAAGCTTCAGACATTCAGCAGGTACAAACTGACATATTTGATGCCGTAGAACAAAACATGACAAGTCTTACGCTTGTGTTAACCACAAACCATATATCAGGCCTCAAGACAGTACATACAAAGAACGTTGACTGGAGACGAGGGTGCCAGAAGTGGTCAAATGCTGACACATTTCCAGGTTTTAGGACTCATCCCTGCACCACTCTAAAGCCACGAGTGGAATGATAGGCATTTGTGCCAGACACTGGCGCTGACAGAATGATAGTATCCCCTTACCATAAGCAGCTGTAGGGGCCAAATCATTTTCCTGTCATATCAATTCTCCCGGTGACATTTAAATCTTGCTATGCCCTGCCTCAGTGTATTAATCTGCTGCCATCCTCTCAGTGAAGTGAAATGTATGTTAAAGGTTGTTGTGGATGTGGTAAATGATGATTCTCTGTCGGTTAGTTTGCAGATGATGTGGTGTTTTTGTGGCCAGATGTGGGGAGTATGGTTTGTTCTTAGACAGATGTAGTTAGGAGGTTTTGATCCTGTCAACCACCCGACCCGTCTGCCCTCCTGCGAGGGATCAGATTCCATCTGGAACGTGCCTTGTTCCACTTCAAACAGAAACACATAATCCTTTTACGGACACGGTCGTTCAACTTGTACTGTGCATGCGAGCGTCCCGGGGCAAAATCTCTCTCTCGAGAGTGCCAAAACCTCTCGGGCGCGTTTCTGCCATCCCGTCCAGATGCCTCGGTTCTGCCCTCTTTCTCCATCTCTATATCTGTCCGGTGTCATTGATCCGAGCCACCAGCTGGTCCTGATCTCATTTACCCCCAAAGAGGATCTCGTTTGTGGGCAGACGGCCCATTATGGAGGCCATCCAGAAGCTCTTCAAGTTACAAATTAGCCTCAGTTTCTCTGCTGCCTCTCAGTCGGCTCCTCCTTGTCTTGCTTGCCCACACTCTGTCCCTTTTAATATCCCCCCCCCCCCCCACCTTTTTATATTGTCCTGTCTTTGTCACTGGTATCTCTCTTATCTCCCAGGGGGGAGAGCTAACCGCATCAGAGGAACCTGCCTCGCTAATGCACTTCCTCTGTCCGTCTCTCCCTGTCCATCCCATCTGTGGAGCTACTCCCCACTTTCTCCTGAGCGATCAATATCCGTACAGTGGAGCTTCCCGCTGCCTTGCTGGTCGCCCTGCAGGCGGTGGAGCTCCGCCAGGCTGAAGTCGGGCCCTCGCCGTTCTCTGTTTTTTGTTTAGTGGCCGACGGAGCCTCTTGCCTTGCCTCCCCACGGTACATTGTCTCGTTTCTGGGACATACTGAGGCCTCTGTTAGCGCTGCTCGTTCTTTTCTTGTCTCCCTTTCCCTGTGTCTGCTGTTATAGGCCGACTGTACAAGATTAGCATCTCTCTTTGTCCAGGGTTAACAAGCTCTGTCATGTGTTAATCTGCCCAGGGGGGCCGAGTTCCTCCGAGCCCCGTCGCACCATGGGAAGAACAGGTCCGGGTGTTTGTGTGTTTTGGTGCGTCAGCTTGTTTGCTGTTTGTGGGATTGAGGCGGGGGGGGGGGGTGGTGTGAACTCGTACAATGTACAGCCTATAAGCTGCCATCGCATCGGCATTCACTGCCAATTTGCGGTGGTCATACTCGCCTTTTTCTGCTGAATTGTTGTATTATTTTATTTTCAGTGAGTATTGTAATCCCTTAATTGGTGCTGAGTTTTTATTGAAGACATTTTTAAATGTTAGTGTGACTCTCCGCAGAATCCTTTAGGATTAGTGCCAGCCTCTCTGGTCACATGTTTCTGTGATCCAGGTGTCTGCCTCACAATCTGCCGCTCCTTCTCACAAGAGGAGACACAAAAAGACTCCTTCCTTCCTCCCAGCGGGGCCTTTCTTCTCTGGCTCAGTTTGTCTTTTGGACAACCCTGCAGCTCATTGACTAGCTGCAAATCGATTGAAAGGATTGACTCTGCTACACCTTTTTAAGGACTTAACAAACAGCGGGGGAGGTGTGTTGGTTTGTTGTGGCGCTGCTGTATGCAAGAGGTAGGTCTGGATAACTAATGGCAACCAGTGGCCATATTTTTCTTCACAGCTTCATCCTTTTGTCTTTATTCCTGAGTGTTTTGAAAGACATGATTCTCATAAAAGTGTGGTTTGCCCACCGTTTCCCAGATAAGAGAAGATCTGAAAATATTGATCCTAGTTGGCTCCAATTATCACCGCCTGCTGATGGCAATCTAAGGTTAGCAGGGAGTGCTTTAGCCCCGGGTTTTGCCTCTCAGGCTACGCTGCCTTTTATTGATGAAGGTCCATAGTGCTGTTTGGAGCCTGAAGGGAAGACTTGCAGACATTACTTGGGGAAGAGACACCACGTTGCACATTTAGCCAGATTGTTTTTCACATTTACTCACACCTTTTGCACAGCATTGAATGGAAGCCTTAGTTCTTTCTCTCCCCCCCCCCCTCTCTATTGTTTCCTCCCTCCCTCTCCCCTGTTGCTCAGCCCTCCCACAGTCCGTAGGGAATGTCGTCAGAGCGGCGGCTTTGTTTGGAGTTTATTTGTGTGCAGGACAGAGGCGTTTCCTGACCTCAGGTCGGGGGTGTTTGGAGAATGTGAGGGCTGTGATTAGCATGAAGGCAGCACTTGTAGCCCCCAGCTGGATTTACCTGGGTGTCATGTACCTACAGTACCCTTAGAAACATTTACATATTTAGCCTTTTGCTAAATATTTGGATTTTTCACAACTGCAGATTACAATTCTCATAACATGTTGTTTATTTGTGCAGACCCAATCCAATTTCATATACGGTATTCACTTTGATATTGCAACTGCAAAAATGTATCACGATATCGGAGGGAATGATACATTTTGCCTCCATATAAAAATGTTTTTTGAAAAACTCATGAAAATTATCATGTTTGTATATTTTCTATTTTTTAGGATTTTCTTACATTTTTTTTTTTTTAAGGAATCATTATCTCTGAAACACCCAAATACTTATTTCAGAATGTTATTTAGATATTAAAAAATATAATACTGCCTGCAATTAAGGTATTTCAATAGTCTTTATGCGATATTGACATAATGCACATCCTCATGTGTTTGATTATAATAAGCATCGTGTCATGGTCTGCTGTGAGAGGCTTCGATGACCTCGGAGATCTGCAGCGATCCGTAATGATGTGTGCAGAGGCTGAGGAAGAGGAGTGACATGCAGAGAAACCATCCCACTAAGTAGAGTAGGGTAGAAGTGGCTTTGAAAGGTTTTCCTGTGATCCTGCGCCGCTGTTGCATAACACTGACGAGTCCCACAGAGAACTCAGGAAGAATGGCTTTATCTGACAGTTTACAGTCTCATATAAATGGCTTCAGTGACAGATAACTCTTTATATCTTCTGCCTGTTCAAACAGTGTCTGCTTGTGACTAATGTTAGTCTGTAGCTGGTGTTCTGCCAAGTCTCAGCCCAGAGTAAATGAAAGATTTAGCAGCTGGGCGTCTTTGCTGCAGTTCTCTAAGAAATGTAGATGGATCGCTCTACCCTGTCCCCTGCAGCAGTGCATTTTGCCATCTTGTTCAACAGTGTTAATTAGTAGTATTACCCTGGCCCTAATCCCCTTCTAGTTGCTGATATTGTGTCTTATTCTTACAGTCAGGCAAGTTTTAATTATTTTAAGTCCTACCTCATCAACTTGAGGTATTGATTCTTACTTTAAAGGGGACCTATCATGCAAAATGCACTTTTGTACGTCTTTTATACATGAATATGTGTCCCCGGTGTGTCAGGGAACTCACCAAGTGTCAGAAAACACAACCCTCTCTCTTTTCCTCCATACCCAAATCTCTAAAAATGGGGCTGCAACGGAGCTGATACAGATTTGAAATTGTTCTGACGTCAGAAACAGGGAGCTCCGCCTATATGGGCAACTCTCCACCTATCAGAGGAATGGGGGGTTGGGCCACGGCCATGGCCATTGCCGCTCGAAAGCGCTGGAGACGCTGTAGTACATATGCCAGGCCTGTAAGTGGCGCTGTAGTCTGCCACAAAAGCAGCGAAGAAGACTTCTCACAGAATCAGCCCTTGCAAAAACAGGGCTGGAAAAGAGCAAATAGAGCAAAATGAGGCATGGCTAAAATGCATGATCTGTTTGGTATTTTGAAAAAAAAACTTCACAGACATGTTTTATATAGGTATGGCCCTACAATATATTATTCAAATATAGCATGATAGGTCCACTTTAAGCATTGAATGCGTCACTTAACAATGAAATAAAACAAGGAAAGGCAGCAAACTCTGAAATAAGAACCGTAGGTGAAAAGTGACAGAAACATTTATATAAATGAGAAAACATCCTTTTTGATTGGACTAAATTGTACTATTTATTTATATTTTAAAGAATATTTTGGGCCGGTTTAGCAGGCGATGACACACAATAAGGGACATGAAAATGTTTTTGTTCTATAAATAATGATTGCATTAAAATGTATAGATTAATTGATGCTATAGAACCGGGGATCAAGTCCCCTAAATGGAGATGTTGACTGAGAATACTGTTGTGATTTTGGAGGAGGTTGAATGGACAATGTCAGGCCCCATGCCAACATGTGGCGTCTTGAATCTGACATTCTCCTCCTTGAAAAGAGGAGGAGTGACACACACACATGAACACACATGAACACACACTCACATTCCAGCTCTATTTTGTTATGTTTGGACACAGTCACAAGTAACACTGCGTCAAATCTGAGGCCACTTGCATAAGCCCATGTGCAGCGGTGCCGTGAGCAAGAGAGCCCTACATTATTGAAGCAGCGCTGCTTAAATGTAGCAGAGCTGTGGAGTGGTGATCAAGAGAGGAAGAACTAAAGGGTTAGACAGGTGTCCAGATTATGGATATGCATTATATTAATGACATACATTTGGACTTATTGAAACAGAAAATGAATATCTCGGCGAAGACGTATTTTGTAAACTGATCGCAGGGGCTACCACAACAAAAAGCAAATGGGATTTTTACATTGGATTTGGAATATTGCTGGAAATCAGTTCTGTGGCAAACACACATTCATCATACTAACACATTTAGTTCAGTGTTGGGCGTGATGACGTTTAGTTGTCTCATTTAGACACTTGTTAGCAAACGCTGTTTTTGAATTCACTTATTATATACTGTATGTTTGTTTGTTCATCCGACCCCGGCTGTGTCAGAGGGAGGAGGACGGTTTATTAGCGGTGTCAAAGAGCAAACACCACAGATCACTATCTTGCGTTTGCTGCATGTAGAGATAAAAGCATCTCAATTACAGGGTCAGAGGCCGCCGGCTGCTCGTTAAAAATGCCTTCCAAAACCAAGCCCTCACCTCCGTGATCCTCTCCCCTCACCGCCGTCCTCCCTCAATCCTCTTACGGAGGCCTCAGTTACGCCCTGAATGATTCCATCAAGCTCCCTTTGGTTCGTTAGCGGAGTGTGACATCGGCCACAAAAGCTCACTTTCTTTTTTGCATCTTTTCTCCCGCCACCCCACCCCCACGGCCGCTGCCTCCTTCCCCCACAATCCCTCTCTTTCAGTACTATTTAGAGTAGGCCCCGAGGATAGAAAGGGGCTCACAGAATGCACATGTGTGTACACAGTTGTTTACTGTGAAAGCACTGCAGACTTTCTACCAGCGATTCATACACGGACGCGGACGGGGCCGAGCGTTTTGATATTCTGCCCTTTTGTGCGAGAACAGTCTCTTGTTTCTCATGATGTGATTAGATGTGAAGAACCACAGCCCAAGAGCAGATTTGACATTAACGTAACATTTAGCTCAATAACACGCGCTGCAGCTTCTTAATTGTAATCTTCTTAATGAACCGCAGCTACCCGCAGCACCATTTTCTTCTTAAATATTCAGAAATATGCTTACTGCATTAATGTAACCTCCTGCTGTATTCTAAACAGGCATGTTAATTGCCCCCCTGCACATACACTGTAATAGATTGTACTTGATGCAAAAAAACAGGGTCAAAGTAGCAGTTTTCTGTTTAAATATGCTGATGACCTGATTATTCACAGCATTTCTTTGTCTAGACAGTCAGAGAAGCTTGGATCCCTCCGCGGAGCTGGATGCCTTCCAGTTATTGACAGTATAGGCTGTTGTGGGTCAGATATACACACACAAGTGAGAACACACACATTTTGTTTGTTTCCCGGTGTGGGGATTAGGACGGGATGATGCCTGGGAGGATGATCTCACCTTGCAGAGCTGGCTTGCCCATCATAGGCTTACAGCTTGAGGCCAATTAAATGTAATAATGACAACAAGAGAATCCAGAATGCTTCTCACTCAGCGCCAAGGCCAAATGCCTCTCGCAATGTAACAACAGTGTGAGATCATTTGTGTGTCTGCCCCATGATTTGATTACGCTTGATTTTTGCGTTCTTCCTTGGGCCATGCAACACCCTTCTACCAAATTACATGAACATCAGGCCAGTATTTTTCCACAAACCTGCTCTCAAATAAACAAACTGAAACATATTTTTTTTACAGACTTTTCCCTTAAATGTCATAAAAAAGGTCTTAAAATACAAAATCCTTGTTGGTAAATAAATGAGATGAGATCAGAGACAAAAATGAAAACTCCATGCTAATATTACTTAATTCATTAAGGATTTCAAAGGATTTAGACTAGGCTTTATTTGTAATGTTCACAATAGCTACAGGGTAATTCTCCAACAATACAACATTTGAACTTCTTAACATGAATACAAAAAGCCATAGAATAGTGGCCAAATGGTGCAAGTAAGTTGCAGAAATGAGAACCATATAAAATACATATAGAATGAGATAAATCACACATCCACTGCGTGCACATACACATAGAAGATAGAAACACTGAAGTCACATGAGAAGCAAAACAGCAATAAAACAGTGGAGACAGACTGTTACGTCAGAGCAAGCCTAAGAAAGAGCACAAGAAAATGGAGCAGACATAGTTGATGATCAGACCGAGTGTGTGACTGATTCATTATCATACAAAGAATGTAAACAGTGTGTG